TCGAACTATCACTGCAGACAGTTCTATCTGTTAAGTCCATAGTGAGTGACATTTTAAAGTGAATATCTATTAGGCTGAATGATTCAGCGTGTTACCATGCAGAAAGTTATCTGCGATTGAGAAAACGGGAAAGAAAAATAGAAGGTACTAACAACACTGCTAAACTTTAAAAAGCAATGGTCGCACCAGGCAGAATTCATACATGAAGGAAATGTTTCAGATAAATGTTAAATTTAATATAAACTGCAAGGATATTTCTGCTAGTGTATTTTATTTATTTATTTATTTATTTATTTTTGTTTTCCGTGTTCAGTTAGAGTTAATAGATTAAAGGCATAAATTTACGGTAGGTCGGCGATATTCGATTGTAAGAGTAGTACTAGATGAAGCTAATTTATAGATCTAGCATTTACAGTACCTAATTTATAAATCTAATTAAACACAATACTTCATCTGTCACATTGCAAGAAGCAACACAGCATACGACGTAGCTTAGTACTGTTATTAGCACTGCGCTAAATATGATGTGCTACTATTTAGATTGCTTTATAATATCTGAAAAAAATTTATATTCTGGCAATATAAATATATTTCAACTATATACCTTATCTCTTTGCGAGAGATTACAAGTTTTGAGGGGGGGAAACTAAGATTTATGATGCAAATGTTAGAAACTACAATTATGGTCCTATAAAATACACTATCCATAGGAAATTTTCAAAAATAGAAATGTTTTATCTTCTCATAACCTGGGAGCTGTTATTACGATACCAGGAAGAGGTTTCTTGCTGAATGACCTAGAGAGCTTTGGGAATTCATGAATGTTGATAAAGTTAGTAATAGGAACTAACAGTAGAAAATCGTCGAATTAAAAACCAATAAAAGACATGGAAATAAATATTCCTCCGGGGGAGATTCCAAATTTAATAAATTTAATACTTCTCAGTTAGAGTTTCAAGTTAACTGTTGTTCCTGCCATTACTTTAATTGTAAGTACGTCTGTTTCACTTGTCGTCAATCGCTCGAGATTTTGAATTACCTTCACTTAAAGTTTTTGGTATAACAAAATTTACTGCCAAATTACAAAATATTTTTATTATTTTTAATTTTTTTAAATGTATACGTAGTAATATTCACTGATTTATGTTCTGCGTCACGAGACAATCTGCTCTCTGCACAGTTTAATATATTATATAAGAGATATTTAGGGTATAACAGGGATATTTAGGATATAAAATGTATTTAGGTTTTTATCTTTCTCAGTCATTTATGCATTAATGTCTGGTAAGTGTCAGTTTAAAATTTAATATGAAGATTAAAATTTGATAAACCGGCATAATGGGGTTCAGCACGTCCAAAAATTCTAGCACATGCGGATCCTATACGACCAGATTATGAGCAAATCCCATTTGAAAGTAATGGGAAGGAACACTGTTGCCTGCCTGCGGATTCGTAATAGATTGAATACACAAGTCCGATGAAATGTTAATAAAATTTATTTTTATCAAGAGAAATGTATCAGAATGCTTGAACTTTCTCCCAGAAATATTCGTACAAGTGTTCACAATATCACGGAATATATTCAGTAGTTATTCTTCAAACTACTGAAAACGTTAGAGTAAAACGCAAAGCAGGAAGAAATCTAATTCAATATCACGCTGAACTCGCAAAAATGACAACAACAGCTAAGTGAACAACTGAACTGGAATGTCTCTCTCCGGCTTTAAAGAGATTTTTTCTCTAACCGGGCGCGCTATAGAGTTCTAGCGTTTTCTTCTTATCGTGATCTCTGGAAAGAAATAAGAGGAATTACGGTTATAGCTAACATAGTGTTCAGTAATACTTATTCAATTTAAATATAAGTTGCCGAGATAAGCTTTTACTCAATGTTAAGTGCACGTGCTCCTGTATTTTATTTTTCCGACATAGCTTTCTCTTAAAATTCGTCTCGCCTTACATTGCACAGGAAAATACAGCAATTTTAATTGCAATTCTGTAGAATTCTTCACGGTGTAATTCTAAATTAACGTTGAAAGTGATGTTGAATCTTAAGAACTGATAAGCGAATAATCGATTGAATTTGTGTGACAGGACACAACAAGATAGAAGGGTAAAATAACTCCTTTATTACTCGAATAAGATTTAAAATAACTCCGCGTTGGAGTTGTACAATAAAGCCAACACTTGGGCTTGAACTTAAGAAACTAAGAACTAAACTAAACTAATCTTAACTAAAGAGATATAGCCGAAGCTATCAAGATTCTAACAGAGTTGGCCCCTTAACGCTAATTGACTGCGAAGCTATCAAGGGCGTAAAGTACGCCTGAGCGTAATAATAGCTTACGAGAGAGTAGCCTAAAAGGTGGATGAGTACTGCCAGAATATCTGGTATCTCTCTGTCTCAGACAGTAGAACTTCGCGGTTAAATACCGCTCTTCCTTAGTATCTAGACCTGATTATAAAACTACGTTCTGGCCGGAAGTGGTAAGTTGAAGTTAAGAAGCGATAGGAAAGGAAGTTTAACTCAAAATTTAACTGTTAATAAAATTAACATAATCCTCACAATTCTATTAAAATTATTTATCTGAATACAAAATTCGTAACAATACGCTAATTGTTTCTGGACCAGCATCGTTACGGCTAAACGCTATGTAGCCAAATACTGCTGAAGAGAAAAAAAATATTGTTGGTCTTAGGATTAAGGGGCTCATACACCTTAAAACCCTTACGATCTTCGAATATGTGACTGTTGCAAGAACTGGGATATTTTATTTATTTTAAAAGCAATTACTTTCAACTTTTTACAGCTGAGTATATAATATAGCTGCTTTGGGAACTAGTAACCAGAAAGTTTGTGTTGCCAAAAATATATTTATAATTTAATCCACTTTGTGACAAAATATTTAGTCATATTTCCACCTTGCGCGCATGATATTTTAAAAATTGCTAATGGTACGCACTTGAAAAATGATGGAATTCTTTATATGGGCATTATCATGAACCGATTTACCTGAACCAAACATCTGATGCAAATTTTAATATTAAAAAAATGTATGCACAAAAACATTACAGATTGTTTTAACAAAATACATTTTATAAACTCAACTTCAAATAAAATAAAAATTTAACATGAAATTCTTAGAATTTTTGGTTCACAATAGTTTGCAAATGTTATTAAAGTTATATATTAAATATGAATAAAATTATGCAATAGAATGTTTTAAACTGTGCATGCAAGGTGGAATCATGAGTAAAACTTTTGTCACAAAGCGTATTAAATTATAAAAATATTTGTGGCAACACAAGCTTTCTGATTACTATTTCAGAAAGCAGCTATATTAGGTAGTCAGCTGTAAAAAGTTAGAAGTAATTGCTTTTAAAATAAGTAAGTTATCTCAATTCTTGCAACAATCACGTATTCGAAGATCTTATGGGTTTTAAGATGTATGAGTCCCCTTAAGAGCTCTGCTTTTCCACTCGGTTCACAATGTTGATTCAAACAATTCTGTTATAGTTACACTTTCTGAAAATGAAACGTATTGAATGAGAAACTAAATGTAAGAGAATTAACGGGAATCCCGCTGGAGTCATAACAAGTGGATAGTGACTATACAGAAAATGTAGTTAATGTTACTTGATGTAAGTCTGCCACAGAATGACATACATTTGTAAAATGTCCTGAGAATAACAACCATCAGACAATGCATTTACAAACAGTTTTGAAGAGTTTTTTTTTTTTTTTTTTATTTCAAAGAGATGAGAGTAGGAAAGATTAATGAACTTCATTTGCGTTATTCCACGTTAAATATAATTTTTGAAAAGTAATCAATTTAAAAGTTCAATAATAATCAAGTACTTTTTTCACATTGTTTTCCTATGTAAGCAGATGGGCAGGTGCAGTCATAGTTTCCATCAACAACGTTACATCTGCCTGCATTCTGACAAGGACTTGAGCTGCAGGGATCTGAAATGTGAGATCGGAGATTTAAAATGAGTTTTTCGATATTTACACTTAAACTCAAGTTTTTGTAAACATAATATTTTTATACTATTTTATTTCCTTTCTTAGAATCAAATCTTTATAATTACATTACTTAGAATCTTTAATTACTGTAAAAGTCCTTATTTTCGCGAAAATGAATATAACGTGATTTCGCGAGTTGAAAATTTCGCAAATTTTATATGAACAGAACCGAAAGTTGAAAAATTTCAAAGGTACCTAAGTAAAGTTGAGAAAGTTGAAAAATTCCAAAAGTTCTTTTGCATAAAGCATTTTAAGAAACTTCCTGTTGTCCGAAAAGTTCTTCCTTCCGCCGTTCCCGTCTAAATGGCGAGTTCAAGCGTTTGCTAAAGAATGAGTTTATTGAGTGGTATTCTAATGAGCTTCAATTTTTAAAAGAAAAAGAATCTGCTTACTTGAAATATAACGACTAAAACCGATTCACGCTTCTTGGCTTGTGTGCGTATTTAACGGTATTGAAGCCAAGCACGAGATAATTTTGAATGGCTTCAAAGAAGCTGGTATAAATAATATTCTAAGTAAATGAGCTGCCTTCTATTAATTTTATTGTTTTATATTCGAGAAATATAGTTGTATATTATTCAAAAAATAGTTATAAGAAAGAAAGTTGTCAAGAAAAAGCTTTTAACTGTGCAATAAATCATTAAATTTTGGGTAAGTGAAAAATTATTGATTTTTTATTATTAGGCGGAAAAAAAAAGTATTTCGCGAGACTTAAATTTTCGCGATTACGACGGGCTCGCGAAAATTAAAGCCTCGCGAAAATAGCGGCCTTTACAGTATATTATTTAAAGCTAAATGCCTATTTAGCATGCTCTTCATATGCAAAGAGATCCGCAGTACAATCTGTTTGTAAGGATTAATACATTTACAAGAGTTTTCAAGTACAGGAGAAGAGAAAAGAGCATTATTTGCATTATTCTATATTAAAAATAAATTTTGATAAGCAATAAATTTAGAGCGTCTGAATAATAAATAATCAAAAACCTTTCTCGCATTGTTTCCCTGAATAGAAAGGTGGGCAGGTGCAATTGTATTCTCCATGACTAACACTACATCTGCCTCCATTCTGACAAGGACTTGAGCTGCAGGGATCTGAAACATGAGATCAGAGACTTACAATGCAACCTGATATTTATATTTACGCTAAAACTTATAAAAACATAGTAATTTAATACTTAATTGAAAGAAGTACCTTGTACCTTTTTCACACAATCTGCCTGAATACGGATGTTGACAGAAGCAAAAATGATCTCCATTATAAATTATACAACTGCCTGCATTCTTGCAAGGATTTGGATCACATGGATCTAAAATGAATTTAGTTAAATATTTAAAAATATTGTTACGAATTTCCTATTTAGTTAGATATTTTTAATAGAATTAGAATTAAAATTGTATTATTCCCTGTGCAATGTAGCGCGTGACGAAAATTAAGAGAATGCTACGCCGGAAAATGAAAAATACAAAAGCACATTTAATAAATAAATATTTCACATTTAATAAATAAATATCTCTTTTAATTTATATTTAATTCGAATAAATGTAATTGACTAGTGTGTTTAGCTGTAGCGGTAGTTCTATTCTTTTTGCTTTCCAGAAATTGCTAGAATTGTCTCGCGTAGCCGATTTAAAAAGTTGTAAAAGCCGGAGGGAAACATCGCAACTCAGTTGTTGTTTAGATAACTGTTGCTTGTTGAATATAGCGAACTCACGGTGAGATCGTATTAGCTTTCTCTGCTCTTTGGATTGCTTTCTATTTAATGATTTAGTGCTTTAAAATATAGCTGTTGTTCATATTGGGTGATATTGTACGAATATCTCTGAGGAACAAGCCAGCGTTTTGTTATATTTCTTGTGATTAGAATAAAATTTTATTAACTTTTTATCCGACTTGTGCATTCAATCAGTTACTAAGCCGTATATGTATGCAACAGTATTTTCTTGCTTCAAAACCTAAGAAATATGTGTGTTCATATAACACGTATGTGATCAAATAAAACGTATTTCGCATAATATCCTGAGTAGAAATCTATGCAGGTGCATTTATGTTTGTCGTCAAATTTAACTGGATGTTCCACCAGGGTGCAGAGATTTAGATATCGAGGATCAAAAGAATAACATCAAAACCTTGTAACCAAATATCCTTGCTTTTTTATTCACATGGTTAGTAGTATGATTACTTAAGTCAGAAAGTTAAGGCTTTCTCGCTGAATATTCTTCTGAAAAAAACACACAAAAACGTAAACATAAGGGAAAAAATAAATTCCATAGCGTTTACGAACATTTTGTGCAGAATTTTGATTTGACTTATAAGATTCGAATACGAAGTGAGATATTAAAAATAATTTCTGAGTTTAATATTATGCAGCTTTTTAAAATGTGAGTTTGATGTGTATTGCTAAGGTACACATTCCCTCGGTTGCCAAAATTACAAGTTTGCAGTTTTTAATATGACAATTCTTCACTGGTTTAATCCTAGTATCCGGTGCACACTGGATTTGGCTACTTTTGGCGACTTTTATGATGAGCAGTAAAAACGGGACATATACGATGAGTAGTAAACGGGTATTCAAAGAATATATATAGTTATACATAGTATATACTTAGTATATAGTGTATAATATACTATCAGTATATATACATAGAACGTTCTTTTGGTAATTTTTGTTGTTGGCGATAATTTTCAAAATCGCGCCAAGGCTGCACCGTATACTAGGATTTTACCTCTTCACTTATTCCTGACACTAGTATCACAATCACGGAGCACGTTTTAAGAGAAATAAGGTCACATTCATAGACGTACAGGAAAAAGCAACAAAAGGGCTCATGCAAATGTTTATCCACCTCATGTGGATTGTAAGGAGCAATCATACAAATTTGTTAGTTAATAATAAAAGACATGTTCTGAATTTTTAAATTTGAGACGTACTTTCTTCACATAAATGTCCAAAGTACGGTAGCTTGCAGGAACATGTAAAACCACTTCTAATAACGTTACATGTACCACCGTTCTGACAAGGGTTTGAGATACAGGGATCTGAAACGTAATATTAATTACATAAAATGAACTTTTGGTTTCTTAAACAAAAGTAATTAAAACTTTCTATTTGAAATGTTAAAATCAAATACCTTTCTCACACAACTTTCCTGAGTAAGGTGATTTACACTTGCATTCAAAGTCTTCGTTAACCAAGTGACATGAACCGCCATTTCTGCATGGATTTGTATCGCAAAGATCTAAGAAAAGAAGACACAGCTGACAAGCTATTTGAATCATAAAAGATAAATGTTGAATATAAATCATAGTATTTTTTTTAATTAATTTTAAATTATTCTCTTTAAAATGCTGAAGATATAAGCAAACATACGGATGCGCAGATGTTCACAGTAAAAGTCCCAGTATATTACACTCATGTCCATAAATTAAGGATAATTCGGAGTCACGCGGAAATCGAACTCTAAAGTAAATATATCACCTGTAAAATCACTACACACATCTTCATGAACCATGCAAATTTCAGGAAGTAACCAGATGACACCGATGGTACGCGTCACAATGACGAGTGTAAGAGAATGATATATAAGGAAATACAGGCAAAGAAGTAAATTGTTCGCAGGCGCTTTAATAAGCATTTCAGTGCAATACCGACTAGTTATGACACAAAGGACGCATTTGGATTATTTTTTACGTGGTAGAATTATCGGCCGTCTGGAATGTGGGCGTACCCAACTGGAAGTATCAGACGAACTTGGAATTGCTCAGAGTGTCATCTCCAGGCTTTGGCACGATTCCAAGATGATGGTAATGTGAGTAGACGTTACAGCACAGGTCGCCCCAGAGTTACAACGCCGAATGAGGACCGGTATTTGGCAGTTACTGCCAAAAGAAACGGGCGTCGCACAACCTCAGACCTGTCTCGCGAGCAGTGTTCAGCCTCTGGTAAGAAACGTTCAAGGCAGACCGTGTACAGACGCTTAGGACAGATTGGTCTATATGCTCGTAGACCTGTCAGATGCGTTCCACTTACTGCAACTCACTTTAGCCTGCGGTTAGCCTGGAGTAGAGAGCATGCATTTTGGACACCGCAACATTGGGCTTGTGTGATGTTTTCCGACGAGTCCAGGTTTACCTTGCAGTCTGATTCTCACCGGACTTTCATATAAACATTATTGAACGACACCGTTATGGTGGTGCAGGAGTGCTCGTTTGGGGTGGAATTATTCTGGGTTCCAGAATTGACCTGCATGTTCAAATTGTAACCATGACAAGCCAAATCTATCGGGACGTCATTCTGGAGCAACATGTACGTTTGCGTCGTGGCGCCATGGGCGCACAATTTGTGTTTATGGATGACAACGCCCATCGTCACAGTGCAAACATCGTAAGCAAATACCTTCAATCGGAGGATATCACCCGTATGAACTGGCCAGCATCCTCACCGGACTTGAATCCAGTAGATCACGTGTGGGACATGCTTAAACGACGAGTTGCAGCCCGTCAACTTCCTCCTTCATGTCTACCGGAACTTCGGAGAGCATTGCGTTTTGAGTGGTGTAATATCCCCCAAGATCAGATCGATAATTTGATACTCAGCATGCCTAGGCGTTGTACGGACTGTATTGCATCGTCTGGGAGACATACAATGTATTAGCAATCATACCAACCATGTAATATTGGTTTTTTGTAAATAGGTATTTTTTGCAATTTGCTCCAGGGAGAAAAAACCGCTAATTGTTTTTAATAATATCAAATATAGCATCTTTTTTTTGTTCTTTACCTTTGTTTAATAAATAAGCTTTACAATAAGTCCCATTTGGGGTACTTTTCCGTTGTTTCGGTCGGCCGCGCAAATCTCGCCAAGCAGACTTATTGGCGACAACATACAGTATACACATAAAAATATTAGTTCTAAGAATTCTTTTAAAAAAGAAGGCGTAAACATTTTAATATCGCTTAAAATTTTATAAAAAGCCAATAAATAAAGAAAATAAATTTGTAAAAAGACATTAATTTAAGAATTTACTGTGCTTTCATGGTTCAACATCCTGATTCGCCGGTTCATATCATGTGACCCCAAGCGATCTCATCTCACGTAACTACTCTACAAAAGCTAATGCTCTCAGTAATTATCTACATTCATTTCAAGTTAAATCTTAATTTGGAACACAATTTAAATGCAAGAAATATTTCAATTCGTACGAATAGCTTACTCAGAAATTATGTAAAACTGCATTGCTTTACTTCGCTAATGCATTCTCATTAGAATGGATTAATTTAATCCTTGACTTTACCTTTTCTATATTTTCGGCTTCGGATAAGCGCTGTGATTGCATCCCAATTGACTTATTACCGAAAATGGCCCTAGACATAAACTGAACTATCTGATAAAAATTCTATGTATTCTATATGCCAGTATGTAAGAAACAACCAGTCTGATAAAAAAAGCTGCGACTTGTTTTGAAAATGATGCGTAAAAGGTTACCAGCGAGAATATTCCGTTTGGCATCAGTTGTACCGTTATTGGCGACTTTATCGCTTGCGCCGGCAAAACGGAAAAGTACCCAAATTTGTTTTGCTTCTAACTCTTCCTTTGCCTGATTTTGCATTATCCTTAATTTATGGACATGAGTGTAGATGCAAAATGTGGCAGAAGGAAAGAAGATCCCTTAAGAAAGATTAGAGAAAGAAGGAAAAAAATAGAGAAAAGCCGAATCGTGGACTAATCGGGTTTTTTTCCCTTAAATGGTTATCTATAAATGCAATTTTTTTAAGTTTCTGTAGCTATAAGCAAAGATATATGTAAGCAAGTGTTTATAATAAAGATCCAGACCACTTAGATGCAAAATGACGCACAAAGAAGGATAGTCTTCCTTAAAGAAAGATGATAGAAAAACAGAGAAGCAGATTGAAAGAAGTAATTTGCTTATTGGTCAATTTTTGGGTTAATTTAAGTTAAAAGACAATACCTGACTCCATGTGTCTCCGTGAAAAGACGATTCTGGAGTGTTTCACCACAAACCAACCAGTTCAAACTGTATAACACCATTTAACCTTAGCATCAGTTATAATCATGGCAGGAGTCTAAAGGGTCGCTTTGAAACTAAGATCCTAGAGTCTACCACAATATATAAGGTTTGTAAAGGACATTTCATGACTTTCTCCAAAATTTGCGCGGAATTGCGCCTTTCCAAATTTTGGAGAGGTTTATATATCAGTTTCGAATTTATATATGTCTAAAGCTTAATCATCTTACCGTTTTAAGAGATTATTATAAAATACACACCTAAGCAAATTACTAACCCTTTATTAGAAAAACAATAAACACAGTCTGCTTAAGAAGTATCTGTTCACATTGCGAATAAAGAGATTTTTTAGGAACACAAAAAGAGATTTGTGTATATACAATTGACAATTTGTTTTATAAAAACGCAATGTTTGCATTTGTTTCTTACTTTTGGTTTCACACTTCAAACCAGTGTAAGCACTTAGACACACGCACTTGTAAGAGTTCAGAATATTCAAGCAGGTTCCTCCGTTTTCGCATGGATTTGGCGTACAAGGGCCTACAACCAGAAGTAAGAAAATTATTACTATATTGTATCGAGTTAAATAAGAAGCGTACTTTAATATGTTTATGGTTGTTTATCTGGTTACTTAATAGTATGCTGTGATGCTATCAATGCATGCTAACTTCAAACAAATCGATGCTTCATATAACATTTAAAGATAGCTGGCTTTGTTTTAGAAAAATAGCATACTGAAATTTGTAATAATTTACAAGGAAATATCCGTGTACATTAAGCAACAGAGATTATTTTTTAAACCGATGTCAAATAATTTTATACTTAAAGAACGAATAAAATTATAGCTAAAATTCTATAGCCATTATTTTCATACTTTAGAACTACTATGCCATGAATTGATCCAATGTAATTTCAATCTTAATTTTCGAATTGGTGTAATTAACGTTGAGAGTTACCAAATCTTTTTTGGGAGGATGTATGGGAATGTGATATTAGAGTTATTATATATGAGATGCTAAATTATATGATATATTGTTACCGTTTTTACTTGTTACACATAGATACGACGGAATTAATATTGTGCATTATGATATAGCCTATGTTCTGATTATGGTTATTGGAATATGGTAAAAACACAAAAGAGTAATTGGGCTAAGAGATTAAATGCCATCGTGGATGAATCTAGTTCATTTTCACATTTACATCGATGAAACCACAACGCCCAACCATGCAGCCAGCCCGTTCGCCTTTCATCGAAATCTGGTAGAATAACAAATCCGCATATCGAGCCGTCGTATTTGCCAACAATTTGGCCAACAAATTGTGAGACAGAATCCTAATTATTGCAGTTTAATTCTTTGTTTTCAAGAAACTTCATTTTATGTACCGATATGGGTTGATGTGCAAAATAAGTGAATCTATATGTTTTGAAATTTAAATGATTATTTTTTTAGTTTTAGTTTTAGCCACTGCATGCTTTGATTTTGACTAAAATCGAAAAGATAACGCCATCGAATATAAAGGACGTCATAGAAGAAGGAAATTATTTTCTCATAAAACATATCAGAAAATCATGTATAAATTAACTAAACCCATAAAGAACGAGGGCATCAACTGTATTAATACTGAAAAGTATCATTTTGCAGCAAAGGTACAAAAGCCTTCAATGTGCCCTATATAATATGTGTTTAACTATAAATCAATGACAAGTCCATCAACTCATTTCTCTCTTAGTCCAGTTTTTAGAAGATTGTTGCATATATTACAATATTAAAAACTATGTAGTATTATTACAACATAACTATTTAAAAACTATATTTTATTATTGATATATAAAAATAAGACAGGCTGCTTGTAAACTGTGAATTGTTTACTCACTTTTTTCCTAGATGCTGCTGTTGAACGTATTGTAGAATACCGTGTATCTTGGTTGCGTTCTATAATTTAAACATTCGAAATCTTGATGTGTTAAAATATATGTTCTCTTGATTGCCATCAACGCTATACTACAAATTCGAATATAAACTTCCACATATCATGTAAAACATATGAGGATATACACGGAAATAAGAAAACTTCTGAAACATATTTGAAAAGAAAGAATGAATTTGTTATAGCTATACCAAATTTTCTTTTATTATGCCATTTTATCGCACGTTAGAATTTAAAAATAGAATTTTATTCGCACCCTCTCAGAAATAACTAACTATAAGAGGTAGATCACAGAAGCCCCTCCCCCTCTACATGATTATCCAAAGTTCGTACTGTAGCAAACAAATGCATATTTTGTATACCAAAATTACTTTTTTGTTTATATCTATGCAAAGAATTTTGACTACCTTGTCTCAAAGAATAGTGGAAAATAGTAAGAAAAAACCTTAATGATAATTTCATAACAGTGATTAGATGCAAACAAACGTATTAAAACTGAAAAATCTGAAAGTTAAATTAAGTACTTCGTGTTTTGCAAGAGTGAAAACATTAGCGTATTAAACACAACAATGTTTTCAAGTTGTAATACCAAATTCCTTCAGCTTGTCAATCCCAAATTCTCGAAATTTGTCCAAAACAGGAAAACACTTTCAAAGTTCAAAATGTTGTCTTTAAACTGCACATGTTTGGGAGGAAGATTTGCGTTCAAAACCTGATGTGTCTAGGTGCCGAGAATTTTCCCACATCATAAAGAGCAATCATACAAATTTATTATTCAATATAAATAATAATTAAAGTTATTTTCTGAAGTTTTAAATCTGAGACGTACTTTCTTCACATAAATGTCCAAAGTACGGTAGCTTGCAGGAACATGTAAAGCCACTTCCATTAACGTTGCATGCACCGCCGTTCTGACAAGGGTTTGAGATACAGGGATCTGAAATGTAATATTAATTAAATAAAACAAACTTTTGGTCTTTTAAACAAAAGATATTAAAATTTTCTACTTAAATATTAAACTAAAATCAAACACCTTTCTCACAAAACGTTCCTGAATAAGGTGATTTGCACTTGCATTCGTAGTCTTCGTTAACCATGCGACATGAGCCGCCATTTCTGCACGGATTTGTATCGCAAATATCTAAGAAAAAAAGACACAGCTGAGAAGCTATTTGAATCATAAAAAATAAATGTTGATTATAAATCATAGTATTTTTTCTTAAATTAATTTTAAATTACATTTTTTTAAGTTAGTGAAGTTATAAGTTATTCTTCCTTTTTGAAAATTAAAAATTATATTTATGAGCGCCACACAAAAGGTGTTTTTGACTAACTGAATAACAAAAGAAGATAGGCAAATAATTAAAGTTTTTGTGATATCCTGATGGAAGAAATACGCATATGAGAACTTGCACTGCTCGTACACCCAAAGCACAATTTAGAAGATATAATGGCTAATCTTTGGAATATGGTAACAGGTAGTTTGGCGAAATTTTGGTAAGGCGATAAAGGTTACTAGGTAGGACTTTAGCAATAATCTGAGAAGTACACAGTTCAAATCACACATTATTTTGTCTGAGAGAAATGAGAGATCATGAGATATGTCATGTGACATTTTCCGGAAAATTCCGATCGTGATTTTAACTAATAAGCACTAGAAAATAATTAGAAAAAATTGCACTGCTAAAGTGCAGAATCGTCCACTTATTTGGCGCTGTCAATTTTCTTTGACTTTTTAAGTGAAAATAGGTCGATGTGTATATGGATAAAGTCAAGAGTGTGCGCAATGCCATTTTTGTGCTATTCTGGAATGTTTTTTTAAGTGAAAATGGTCCACGTGACATGGATACCGCGAAGCGCAATTCCTTAAACGCGCGAAGATGGATGTTCTGCCCTTTCTCCCCAATTCGCACCTAATCTTCGTCATGATAAAGTACATTTTTTCCATAAAAGTTCTAGCATAAGCGTAATTCGGCCAGCAGATTGTTGGAAAAAATGCTGAGTTAAAAAAAAAAAAAAAAAAAAAAAAAAAGCCTTTATTTTGTGAAAACAAAATGGCGTCTCAAAAAAAAAATACTAGCAGCTTGCTGTAGCAGGTTTGCTCGCCAAATTTTCGCCAAGTTACCATAATCCGAAGATTCACCGATATATTCACCTTTTAAATCCATTTGAAATCAGAACTTTAAAACATGTTCAGTTTATGTATAGTCTTTTATTGCATTTTTTTTACTGATATCATATTTCTTCTATTTTTTATTATCTGCAATGATGGAAAGTTTGTTGGTTCATTTTATTAATATCATGAATTTTATAACTGTTTGTCAAATTTATTTAATAAGTTTCAGTTTTAGTTACGCTTACTGTGCTAACGTTATGTTATTATTAGGCTATAATAAATATACAAACGATATTAATTTCTTACATTCTGTAGGTTATTATGTAACTTTTTGTACTCATTAATAAGATTGCAAGTACGGAGACCTATGGAAAATGATCAAGAAAACTCTGAACTTCCCGTATATAATTAATAAAATAATTCAGTTGCTTGAGAGTGATGTGGCCTCTTATGAGCAGTGGCTTAGGGAGAGTTTAACAAGATATTAATGTGTTTATTAAAGTTAATTTGATTCATAAAGTTTTAAATGAAAAATTAATGTGTTTACTTGAATTCAACTTGACATCAAAAACCAACCATACAATCAAGTCAACAGAATATTCTCAGTTCCAAAAGTCCTTAATCATATTACCTTGCTACATGACAGCGGGTACGTTAAATGAATATCAAACTCCACCTTTTCGAGATTATTTACAATTTTTCAACTCCAAAGCGTTTACTGACAAATGACTATATTCTTCTTTCAGGCCAATATATCAGGCCAAATTTGGAAGACAAAGCTCAATATTTAAAATAGGTTACCTACCAAATTAAAGTGGGGTATAAGCAAGAAACACTTGCTTCGTTTCTTATGTGCATACATACCAGTTTCACAAATATTCAAGTTTTATTTCAGTTTTATTCCTTACCTTTTCTGCTCATGGGTATACATACCCCAAAGCCAATCGAAAAGGGACAAACCTTATCGAAACTTTACCCAAAAGTGTTGTGTTATTCTTTATAGATTTGTTATAATTTATATCAGGCTTTATTTCAAGCCTGTATTAAACTATTATATTAATGCATTGTTACTATACAACATTTGGAGCTAAAACACGTTTCTTTGAAAAGGGAATACCTACGGTGTCATTTTTCTCAGTTCAATAAATAAATTTGTTCAAAAGCTAGAATTTTATAAAAACGTAAAGTTTGCATTTCTTTCTTACTTTTGGTTTCACACTTCAAACCAGTGTAAGCACTTAAACACACACACTTGTAAGAGTTCAGAATATTCAAGCAGGTTCCACCGTTTTCGCATGGATTTGGCGTACAAGGACCTGTAACCAGAAATACGAAAATCATTGCTATATCGTATCGATATAAATAAGAAGCGTATTTTCATATGTGTATGTTTGTTTATCTGGTTACTTAATAAATAGAATGCTGTGATACTATCAATGCATGCTAACTTGAAACAAATCGATGCTTCATATGATTTTTAAAGACAGCTGGCTTACATTTAGAAAAATAGCATAAATTTGTAACAAAGTTCAAAGAAATATCCGTGTACATTACGCAACAGATTATTTTTCAACCGATGTCAAAAATAATTTTATAATAAAAAGATAAATAAAATTATATTGCCATTATTTTCTACCTTTAAAACTAATATGTCATGGATTGGTCCAATGTATTTTCAATCTTGATTTTCGATTCGGTGTAATTAAATTTAATAGTTACCAAACCTATTTTTTGAGGTAGAATTTAATATTAGAATAATATAATTTATGATGCTAAATTCTATGATAAATTTATAATTCTTTTATTTGTTACACATAGATGCCACGTAATTAATATTTTGCCTTATGATATAGCCAAAGCTGTGATTATGGTTACCGAAATACGGCAAAACACAAAAGAACAATTTGTCTGAGTGGTTAAATGCCATCGTGTAGAAATGTAGCTCATTTTCACGTTACACATCGATTTAACCATAAAGACGAACCATGCAGGCAGGCCGTTCTCCTTTCATCAAACACTGGTAGAACAGCAATCTGCATATTCAGCCACCTTAAGTATTTGCTCACTGGTTGGCCAAACAATGGTGAGACAGAATCCTAATTGTTGCAGTTTATCTTTTTCGTGTTTGTAAGATACTTCATTTTACGTACTAGTATCGGTTACTGTGCAAAATAAATGACTACATGTTTTGAAAAGCTAATGATTTTATTTTAGTTTTAGTTATAACCACTGCAATCTTTTGGTTTTGACTCAAATTGAAAAGATGATGGCATCGAATATAAAGGACGTCTTAGAAGGGAGAAATTACTTTCTCATAAAACATATAAAAAAATCATGTTAAAATTAACCAAAACCATAAAGAAGGCGTGTATCATATGTGTGAATACTGCAATAACATCGTTTCTCAGCGAAGGTACAAAAATCTTCAATGTGCCCAATATACTTGCGATCGTACAGAAATGATTGACACCACGGCTATCACAACAAAACTATTGCACTATGCGACAGGGAAAACAAGTGAAATAGACATAAGGGGGCGTGAGTTACTCAGAATGCATAAATGGCGCTGTCCGCAAGCGAGGGGTATAATTCAGCGCTCGTCCTTTTCGCCGTCGTCATTGTTAGCGTGGACAGGAAAAATGGAATGCGACTATCACGGTCAGCTTTGGACATTTTGGTTCCCAGGGAAGCAAGGAATACAGAGTAGTGAGATCCATCATCGCATGATGTCGGTGTGCCAGAACAAAGTTTCCTCAAGACGTACCGTATCCTGTTGGTTGGATAGGGAGCAATGGAGTGGAAACTGCGGCCATAGGAGTCAGCGCGGGACAATCAGCAATATCGCATACAGCAGCAAATGTGGCAGCCGTGTCGAATTTGATCATGGCGAATAGTTGCATAACGTTCAACAAGATGCGGGAAAACACAGGGCTCGCGCCAGGAACATTGCAGGCGATTGTGCATGGTGATGTGGAAATAACAAATGTGTGTGGAAAGTAGATGGACCTCGGACTACGCGTTGCTTGACAAGATCAAGGACGCAATCAGGTACCAACATGTTGTGCTCCAACACCAACAAAGACTCGTTTACCAAAGCCCTACGGGACCTCCCGCCAGATTGCAGAAGTATATTGGCATGGGCGACGATTATTTCTAATCTGATGTACTATATCAGTTTTTGTAATAAATTGTATTCCGCTCTGTAGCTGCATTTTTGTCATTCATTTCTCTACGACCTTAATATTATGTGTTTGTGAAATCAAGACAGTCCAACTTATTCTCCCGTGTCCTTTTCAGACGAGTGTTGCATATACAATTTTTGAAATTACTGTTAGTACAACACAACTGTTTAAAAAAAAACATTTTACTGCTGATTAGAAATAAGACAGGTGCTTGTAAATTGGATTGTACGACAATTTTTTTTCCTAGAAGCTGGGGAATGATTGTAGATCCGTAACTTTATCTTGCTTGCTGCCGAGTTTTGAACAAGTTTTTAAACACTAAAAGATGTTAAAATGTATCTTTTCTTGATTGCCATCAACACTGTACTGCAATTTCGAATATAAATCTTCAAATATCATGTAAAACATATGCTGAGTACCCTATACACGGAAATAAGAAAATTTCTGAAATGTACTTGTAAAAGAATTATGCATTTAATTGTTATAGCTATACGAAGTGAATCCACAACTTATTCTACTGGCCGTCTAATATTTGGGCGATAGTTAAGCTTTAATTATAAACTGAAGAATGAAGACAAATGTTAATACACACAAACACACGCACACACACATATATATATATATATGTGTGTGTGTGTGTGTGTGTTATATATATATATATATATTATTGTCACATTCCACTATTTTGTTTTTATTACTAAAGGCATACTTTGAAAAAAATGGGGCTATTAAAAAATACGGTACAAAGTCCGAGGTCCGGACTCGTCGGGACTTCGGGAATTCCGGATTTGGGACTTTTCCGGATATTGGATCATCAGTTTAAATCTAGTAAGTTGGCATGTAGAAATTGTAAAATTAAAAATATGAGATCGTGATTAATGAAATAATGAAGTGTTTATGATCTAAAAGATATCAAAATTTATAAGAAAAAAATGCTTAATATTTATTTGTTTACTTTAAATTGTATGTTCATTCAACGTTAAGTTCAAATATTGTATGTTCAACGTTAAGTGCATTTCGTTCAACGTTAAGTTGTTTAAATTACTTTGTTTTTGCGCTAATATTTTCTCTTTAATTCTATAGATAGACTTTATTTCTTGTTCAAATAAATGGTATATAAGTAAATAATATAGATACGTAATGGTATACTAGTAACAAAGTTCCATTGTTCAAGTCCTGTAATTGCTATGTCAAGAATTCCATCTAACTTGTCAATCTAATTTTTTCCGTTTTCTGTAACTTCTCTGTTGTTTTCTTCACTATCAGTAGTAGTATTTTCTGGATCTTGAACCATACTACAGATTTCGCTGTCCGTTAATCGACTGATGATTGGGGTTTCATCGCAATTTGCGGTATCCGAAATCCTTCAAATTCACGGCTGTCATCTTCATCATCCTACCATGAAATATGGTGGCTGGCCATGAATTATGCCAAGCGCTTCTTAAAGTATTTAGAAACACATCCTCATGAGTAATTTTGGGTGTAAATTTCATTTCAAACAGCCAAGTTGTGCTAAGTAGAAGAAAATTGCATAAGTAATAAAAGTATCAAATTTAAAGTTGTTAAATAGCTACCTTAAATTTACAAACTCACTCTCTCATCCATACATATATTATATAAATTACCCAATTTACGTTATCAACCCTCGGCGCGTATTTGTTCGCACAGGAGCATAGTACAGAGGCACAAATTAACAAACACTTGCACTTTTAATATTTGCTTTTAAACAAATTAAATAAACGTTGATTCTTTTAATATCTTGAACACATTATTTAAAAAAAATCTGTTCTGGTGCACTGTATGAAAATCCATTTCGTTCCAGCATTCGCCTTAACCAACCTTCACTCGCCTTGAGTTGCGATGTAGGAATATCTTCTTCTCGTGCCGCTGCAAGCGCTCTTATTTGGCACATTTCCCATGTTACTGCGTACCATTGTGCACGCATATCACGAACACACGTGACTACTTTTTTTTAAGTTAGGAAACTTACATTTCGAACTACGAAACGCACGTCTTATTTTGCTCGTTGCCGCCAGTTCCTCACGCTTTTGTTTGCTGCAATAGTTCACATATCTTTCGCCCAGATACTCTTGCTGGTGTTCTTTTTCCAGTTTCCTGCTCAAATTCTACGGCTTTCAGATTTAAAAGCCACTGTATAGCTGCTGCATTTCCCCATTTCTAGCACTCTACTTGCTAACTACCACGATTTCCAAATGATACTATGAATGAAAGAGAAAGCTTGAAATTTAGGAATGATCCAAAGAATATGGAGGGGAAAATAATTTCATTACAAAACATAATTTTCCTGGAAACCAGTGTCTGGCGCCAACCAAAGAAAAAACAAATGCATATTCTTTCTTTAAAGATGTTTATTGACTAACTATATTGACTAAAAGGAAAATGGCGATGAGAAAAATATTTTAAAGTAAGAAATTCTTTATTTTTTGGGGAGAGGACATTGTGCGCGTCACATATTTTTACATAAATTTTATCTGTAAAGTTGGAGTGCGGACATTACACGAGCGGATACGCAGTGTAAAATCAACAATGTTTCTACGTAGAATGCTTCAGTTTGAGATGGATGCCAAGCAGCTACGGAGACATATTATTGATCACACAAATTTATGCTAAAATAATTGTTTCTTCAATAGCGAGGCATTTTATTGAATGCAGAAGTGAAATTAAGAATCAAAACTCTCCTCATGTGTTATTGGGGGAGGAAAAAAATCAAGTGCACATGAGTAAAGCACACACAAAAAAGGTTGTTTGTGGCTTTGAGGTCGATTTTAGATCATTCCGGATATTGGAATTCGGATCCCGGACTTGGTACTGTATTACTAGAAAGAAAAGATTTTGTGAAGCGGCTATGCACTGTTACGAATACCTACACATATTTCAAGTTCAAAGCAGCTCTGATGCAACATTACTTATGAGACTAGCTACATGACTTTATCTATAGGGCAATATTTTGCATTATTCACTATACAAATATGCCAAAAAATGTGGAATAATCTGTAAAATAAATTTCTTAAAGTTAAAAAGAAATTTTAAGTTTTATCATAGTTATTTATAGCTTAACCCGTAACAGGGGACGTGCGGTCTGACGGACCGCGCCACATGTTCCTCCCATCACCCCTATTGCAGGTTTGTCCAAGTGACTGGATTCTTCCCCTAGCTTGACGTTTCGTGGCTTCCTTTTCTGACCCTTTATCGGAACTTTGGCAAGAGTGATTCTTCTAGCGTCTTAGCTCACGCGTCCTGTGTACAATTTTCGACATAGTGAACCAGGCTCCTGAAGTTAAAGTCCCGGAGTCATTTAATCCTTCTGATCCACGTTATGCAAAGACTGACAAAAATTCTAGATGATGGGAAGTGATTTTAGTTAAAAGATGCTGTAAGAAATTTCCTTCTGCGAAAAACGGCGAGCAGGGTTTTGATGTCATCATTGCATCATTCGATAGAAACAGACTCGGAAACACAAAACCTGAAATAATTGGTTTTTATAACAGAACCAAAGGTGTGTTGATGCTTAGATGAAAATGTTCTGTCCATTCTCCTGTAGTAGGAGAACAACGCGTTGGCCTATGGCTCTTTTCTACCGGTTAGTAGATATGAGTACAGTAACGCATACATTTCACCAAGGTTATAACCAAACCCTGTTGACCAGAACCGTGTTTTCGAAAGAATAGCGAGAGAATTAGTCCACCTCTACTACACACGAGAGAAAAATCCAGAATAAATATCGAGAATTGCGCCTGACGATAAAGCGGTTTTAAAAAGAAGCTGAGTCTAAGGATGTGGAGCAGTGCACAAAGAAGCAAAATTAAAATCAAGGAAAACTGTCGTCTGGCCTCCAGCAAGAAAGAAAGACACATTTTTTGTTTATCTTGCCAAGACCCTGTTTGTTGGAAACGCAAAATTTATGCAATGAATATGCTAAAGAAACGAAAACTAAATTGTTTACTATCAAAAATCGGTGAGATACTGATATTGTAGTCACTGTCAAATTTTCTGTATTTGCTACATCCATTTTCTGCGGTTAAAATTTGCTTTGAATATTAACAAATATCATAAAATAGTTAATCAAAATATGCATTCTTTTTTTAGTTTTATATAATTAGTCAGCATAGATTTCATGAAAAATATGAGGCTATGGGAAATTTTCTGGAAAACTTTATTTCACTTTAAAGTGTAAAACTATTTTCTTTTCAGAGTAAAATGTTCAAAGAACATCAAGTGATAATCATGATGAATTTTAAGTAGACATTTTAAATTTATTATAATGCGCGGTCTCTGAACCGCACGTCCCCTGTTATGTTCAACTTTTTCACCTCCCTGTTACGGGTTAATAACGAGGGCAGATGTGCCTTATCTAAAAACTATCAGTATCGTTTTCATTCCTCGCTAAAACAGTTTTTTCGAAACACGTTCTGTGATTTTCAAACAAGTTCAGTATATGACATCAAGAATGGTAATTCCGGTGGGAAAGCATAACAGAAATCTTTTTCAGTTATATTCTTTAGCCCTTCAGCTTCTTGACTGCACCCCAATTATTTCCATAGTGAACGATTAGAAAACAGTATAAACAGGTCGATTAGTAATGCACAAATAATTTACAGAAAGTGTCTAATTGATGAATATAATAAATAATATCATAAATGCATAAAAGAAAAATCGGAGCGCTGTTTGTCAGAACTGTCCAG